GGCGTCGCGGCCGCGGCCCGGCCCCTGCCGGACCCCGGGCCCCGGCTCTCCTCTCAAGCGGGGCCTAAGGGGGAGCAGTGAGGATTTGGGCCTTGAACATATCCCTTTGGCAAAGCGTGCTGAAAAATGCTTTTAATTGTGTGTGTGTGTGCGTTTTTTTTTCCCCCACGTGTTCTGTAAGGGGTGTGTTTGTGTGTGTGTGCACGCACGGGAGTACACATACAGCTGTGCGTTAATTTAAATACCTCTGTCCCCTAGGTATACAGGGGAACCACCGCGGTTACATGGATATGTTCGTTTCTACCTGTGTAGAAAAGCCTTGCGCCTGGCCTTCCTGCGCTGTCCAGCCTGCGGTGCTTGTCCCCTTGCCGATATAGCGAAGTTGGTGCGGTTTCTAAGTACCGGCAGGTCCCTGAGGTAGTTACGGTGCAAGCAAAAATAAACACCCTCTGAAAGAAACCAAGCTGGATCTTTAAGGACCAAGAGATGCAGACTGGTCCATACAGTGGTTAGTGCTTATTGTGCTTACAGTGAAAAGCAAATTTCTTCAGATGGAAAAAAGAGATGAAATTTCTCTTTTTGGCACTTAATGTCATACCTAGGACTCTTGTGTTTGAAGGACTTTGATAGTAAGTGCCAGAGAACTCAGAAGGGGACATCTGTATACCGGCAGCTGCTTATGAATTCTTAAAAAGTACGCTCTTAAAGTAGTTAAGCTGTATTAAAACTGATGTTAAGAATAATATTTTGTATGAAATGCATGGTGCTTATAATACTACTTAAAAAAAAGCAGAAATCTGATACGTGATGTACAGCCTTTGTTAGAGAAGAAAGTAGTCAAGGAACATTTAGGAACAAAACCATACAAACTTAGCGTCAGAGGAGTTTTGCTGCAGAAAGCATTTTTTTCCTCAGTAACAGATTAATGAGGGGAAAAACCCTCTCTGCCTCCCCCCCTACCCCCTAAATTGGAGCATTTTGCTACCTGATAAAATTCTCGGGAATATTCCTTTAGCCAAGGCATGATGTAAATAATTGCAAAGTACTTAACAAAGACCCTAGCATGGAAAAGGCAAAAAAGGTTTATTTGATAGAAAAAAATCACTCGTAAAAATAAGAGGGGGATATTTTCAGACAGCAAAAGAACATCCTACCATGTCTGTCTAGACAGCACTTGGGAAAAACGGCCCCACAAAATCTCTAAGGGCTTATATGAGGGTTTAGTTCTCAGTTTACTGTGCATTAAGGAAATGATGCAAGAACTGTTCAAGACTATTTGCTGAGTTTAGCACAAAGGATAATGTTTTCCTCTTTTGATTGCATGCCCGAGAGCTCTGTTCACACTGCTTAACTGGCTGCCCCGAATTTGATGGCATCTTAAGTTCCAGAAAGTAATGAGCAATTCAGACCACCTACTATTCAGGGCTGCCAGACGTAAACTCCATATACAGTCGTACACTGAAGTATATGACTGCCACTTACAGTAAGCAGATGAAATGCAGAGCCAAGTCTGCACGCAAAGGCTCCTGAGAACGTTGCTAGGAGGCCCTAATGGTCTTCGTCGCCAATCTGTGGAACTGTCTCAATCTGATTTTTCACTGCTAGACAAAGGATTAGGAATCTCCTCCTTTTAGAGGAGGAATATTTCCTTAGTTGGATCAGAAAGAGATGAATTTACATTTTGCTTTTTGAAAACAATCAGTTAAACAGTCTTTGCCTGTCCTCCCTTTGGGCCAAGTGCTTTCATCTGGAAGATGTCCAAATTAGGCAGTCCATCTTTCACATCCGTTTCAGTTTTTGTGGCATCAGTTCAACCAGTATCTTAGGTTGCTGCAGCCCTTGCCAACTACTACACAATATCAAATCTCTGTCTTTTCTCTTCCTATACAGGAAGCTATCAAAAACCTAACAAATAGCATATGTTCACACCTCATATTCTAGTCCAATCAAATTTAACCTAAATTTGAAATTAGAAATTTAAAAAATTCAATTCAGTGACTATCATTTTCACAATAATAATGGCTTACGATTTTACTGTTTTTTAAGAGGGTCTCCCTCCTACACCCTGAGCAACTCTAAAGTCTGGGTGGCCATGTTCTATCAGGAAAGCAAAAATGCTCGGTAGTGAGGCAAAAAGGATGATTGTTTCTTTTTTTAAACAATTTTTTGAAAATTGGTTGATGTGCTTGCAAAGCAAAGTGAATCACTCGATTAAAAAGTGAATTAGTGAAATTCCTGGATCATCTTTTTTTCTACCTTGAATAAAGAAAAAGCATACTTCCAGGTCTCCTTGCTCTATTCCTGAGCAGCAATGCTTTGATACTGCTTGGAGGGTGACAGATGGGCTTAGGGGAAATGTGTTAACCAGGAAAGGACTTTTATTCTCAGTCTTGTCCCATTCACTGTTTGTGTGTGGGTTCAAGGAGAAATAATGGGGCTTTGTGGAATCCTTTGCCAGCGGTAAACAAACAAGGCAGAGTTTTGCTGCTCCCAAGCTGTGATAACAGCATGGCACATAACTTTTTTAGTGTGTGGCCAACACAGACGGTAAAGCTCAGTGGAGTTAAATTCAGTAAAAATGACATTTATAGGCCGGAAGAATCATGCTGTAGTTGGCATGGGGAGACTTTTTTTTTTTTTTTGGCATGGTATTGTTTTCCCAAGCCAAACAGGTATTTCTGAGAACTGTGAAGACAGCTGTTTAGAGGGGAGCAAAATCATCCACAGTAGTGCTAGATATGAGAGGGTAAATTAGATAAATTGAGTAGGATGGAAGCACGAGGCTTCAGAGGAAAAGTCAGCTACTACCTGTGGCTCAGTAGGGGCTGGATAGAGCTATTTTCGGAATGGAGGGGAAGTTGGGGATTGAGCAGAACTACAGCAGCTTTGCAATTACATGATTCTGTTGTGCAGCCCATTGGTGTGCTACAGGTGATAGAAGGATAGCAGGAGAGCAAGCTGAGAGGTGTTCAGCCTCCTTGATTTCCTCTTTTCTCCTTCATCTTCCGTATATTTATTCCCTGTGGTTCAGGACGCGACTTCTGTGGCCAAGTTTGTCCATATTTGCTAGGTGTTATTGGCACCTTCTGCCAGGGCACTAAGATGCAGGATAATGCATGATGGCTACTGGCTTTAATACATGTAGCATTAAGCAGTACCAGCTGTAGTAGTTTACTGTAGCCAAGCCTCTACATGCTAACAGAGTGGTCAAACAAAACGATTTATAAAACTCACCAAGTTTCAGAATAGCCTTATCATTTCCCCTTATAGATATTGTTGGGACCTGTGTTGCCTCTGTAATTCAGGGACACATCCACTTCTTTCTGCAGTATGACAGTGTGGTGGTATGTTCAGGTGGTAGTTAAGGCAGAGTGTGACAGTGCAATGTACATTTGTGGGGCTTAATGCATGATCTAGCTTGTTTTTTGATTCTCCTTTTGCAGAGGGTCTTGCAGCACCATATCTTGATCCTGACAGACATGTTATATCATAAACTCTCTGCTTCTTCAAGTTTCTCTTTTCGACCTTCATCTCAGAAATGTTGCCCCTCTCCCGTTACATGTTGTTTTAAATACCAGAGAACTAGTTTCTTCTTTCCTGTTTTTTGGCATGAAGATTGTTAAAATATCTTTCCCCATGCTTTATATGATGGGCCATTATTCCCAGCAGTCTGTATTCTTACTATAATTGTGATACTTGAAATAAAAGAACAAGGAAAGAAGTAACGTGGAGTGACCAGATTTTTTCCAGGATATCTCAGTGTAGAGGTCTCATCCTCTTCCTGCTTTTGCAATCTTTCATTTACTGTCTCTAAAGAGACCTCTTGGAATCCCAAAATGACATCCACGTTGTGAGTCTAGTCAAGCCCCGCTAGCAGGGCTATTTTGTCTCCTTTTGGTCTCTTACAAACCAGCTGCTCTCCCACAGCCTCCAGCTATGTTGGTCCTCCAAATGCTAGCGCTACAAGTTATTCAGATACAAAGGAACTGAGTTTTTCTTCCTCCCCCAAATAGCTATGGGCAGTCTGTGATCTCTTGTACTGGACATTCAGGTATTTCCCCAGATCTTATTTTTCCTGAGCAAATCTTGTGGGGCTAGCTGTTTTGACAGGGAGGCATTCCAGATTGTGGTTTTTATAAACTGTAGGTCTTCATCAGCCAGATGTGCATTAAGGATGCCTGTGGATAAATTTTCAGCATGCTTGTCTGATGGCTTCTCCTGGGGCTTGCGCAAAAATGGCTTGGAAATGGAACATTTGCAAAGAAGCGGATGCTGGCAAAAGAAAGCGTTACAATAAGATGTAAAATATGTTCACTGTAATTTATGCAGGCAAGTAGCTTCTGGAAAACTTGACCTCTGGCCAGCAGAGGACAAAAACATATCTAAAGAGACCACCGAAGCAGTGACTGGTACCCAGTGGGACAGGGATGGAA